AAAACAATTTTTTACAAAAAAACTTGTATAAAAAACATATGACGTAATTTTTCAGAATCTAATCTTTCATATGTCACAATTTCAGGTGTGGTTATTATGTAAGTTTCTGAAAAACTGTTTTTTTTTGGCAAACTACAATTTTTCAGAAGAATTTTGGTCGAACTTTTTATTTTTTTTTAACTGTTATTCTCCCAAAAATTACAAAAATTTGAAATTTTGCATACATATTCTTGCAAATTTTGGTCACAATTGATGAAATTTATTTGTGTTTTATTATGTACGTTTTTGCGTAATTAATTGTTTTGTAGTGACCGAAACTTTTGTCCAGGGAGTGTATATAGGTTAAAAGAAAAGAAAATTTTATTAATGATATTAATGGTTTTATTTAATATCAATTGACCAGAAGATGACATTATTTCAAGATTACAAGTACTGATGTTACTGCTATTATTAAAAGGTATACATGATTGATTATATTAATTTCTTTTTCCAAAGGTTAAATGATCTGGCGATCTGACGGTGCGCGATCATATCTTATTTATTATTAATTATTTATTTTTAGAAAATAGAAATTATTTGTTATTTTATAGAAAATTCAACATCAAAATATTCTAATTAATATTCCTGTAATAACAATATACTATTAATAATAAATTATTAAAAGGATATGTATGCAATGTTGCATCAACTATTAACATTAACTATTGATTACTTTTTTTTTTTCAAAGAAAAAAAAATAGATCAATCTAATGGTATTTATTATTATTATAATCTTTCGATGGATGATGTAATGACAAAATTATTTCCTGATAATCCTGGTACAGACTAATTAATAATTCCCCAAGAATGCATTTTAAAATAAAAACTTTCTGAAACATTCATGTGTTTCTTATATAATTGGTATGTGATTATTATTATTGATTTTATATATATATTTTAGAAAAGGAATGTGATTAAAGATATTATATGTAAAATAAGTTCATGACCTTTACATAGTAAAAAAAACTAGATGATTATAATGGTAATTAAAATATTTGTTATTTATATATATATAAAAAGAAAATCAATAGAAATATTGTTATATTATTATTCAATTTAATCAGAGAGATCATTTGGAATAAGTTAAATATCAACAAAATATATTTTATATTGGGCAAGTTATAATGATGATAATAATAATAATAATAATTTTATTTTTTTTATTTAAGTAATATATACATATGTGAATAATTAAATAATAATAATATTCTATATATTTGTAATTGATTAATGCCCATGTACACTTAAGCCATTAAGCATGATATACTTTCCTTTTAACAAATTTAATTTGTGTTGGGAATGGAGCCCTTGGATTGTATTACCTTGATATTGCTGAGTTGATTGAGAATCCTTGGTTTATCCATCTTGAGATTGATTGTTCAGTTTTTTTTGGTGGAATATTTGTGTTTTGTTGCTATTTTTGTTTTTGTTAAATAATAATAATAATAATAATAACTTTATTTTTTAATTCCAGGTTGTATCCATGGGATCATCTTTACTATTATTACCACCACTGCCATCACATCACCACCATCTTCCTCCTCCTCATCATCAATGATGGTTTTATTATCATCATCAGAGTCTCCATTATCATCATCATCATCATCATCATTATAATAATAATAATTATTATTATTGCTGTTATTATTATTATAACTATTATTACTACTATTAATTGTAATAGCAGCAATATTGTTGCTGTTGCTGTTTCTGTGGCTGCTGCCGTTGCTGCCTCCTATTGTTGCACTTCTAATATTTTTATTATTGTTGTTGTTCATATTTTTTTAATAAAAATCAATTTTAGATTCGCGCCGATCACATGACTTAAATATAAATAAGACCCTACGCAAAGTTTAAATACTTATTTTCTACTTATTTTTCTTATAAAGGTATGTTTTAAGTATGTTTTGACATGTATTTTAAGTACATTTCATAAAATGATGATCATTAATTTTTATCAAAACATCCTTATTTTTTGCAGTACAGTGCGTGTCACAATAATACATCCATTTTTATATAGCATAGTGGACATTCGTTTTATCACATGTGACAAAATCGATCGTCGATCTTTTTTATATTGTGAAACTTGCTATTT